AACAAATTTTACATTTTGCCTATTACCCACAACTATAATCTAAATACATATCGCTTCATGCAATATTTACTCAAAGGGAAAAAATCTGAATTTGAAATACTACAAAAATACTACAAAAAATAGTACAAAACTAACGTCAGAAGTACAATTTAAAAAAAATGCTCACAATAATGCTGGTAGATGTACCACTGTTTAAGGAAGGAAGTTGGAAGAATATAGCGTTATTGTATCATTTAAATTAAACTCAATGCAAATTTAAAACATCATTAACGCGTAACGATTCTGAGAAAAATATTATTATTATTAGTATTTTTTTCCTTGTTGCCGAGGTAACCCAGTAATTGACAAAAATTACGTATACCAAAAAATGACAGTTTTTCATATTTATTAAGAAAACTACAAGATAAATCAATGGCATCCTTATTACATCAACTAGATCAAAAATATTAAATAAAGTTCCTTTTTTATTACATTCTTCGAATTGCCTAGAATCTTAAAAAAAAATACCACATACTTCGCACAATGGGTCGCTGTTGTAGGTGAGGAGTTGGGAAATAGGATTTAGAGGGGAATTTAATGTATGTCTTTACGCAACGATTAACCATTGCTAACAAAAAACGATTCTGGGTGGAGTTTCGTTATATACGTTCAAAAGGTTGTAATATTTACGACTTTCATCAAAATTTGATATTACAGTAGAACCTCGATTATCTGAACTAATTGGGACCGCACCTAGTTCGGATACTGGAAATTGTTTAAAATGACATTTTTTTTTTTTTTTTTTTTTTTTTAAATATAGTTACGATTATATATTCTATATTTGTATGTATTGCATATATATATTGTATTAGAATTACATTATGTATCCAGACATATACAATCACTAAGTACATAGGAACATAATAATATGTTTATGATATTACGAGTGCTACAACGCGCATTGTCGTTTGATAGGTTTAGATAAACATATCGCGTCTCGATTATCTACTAACGATTCACAGACGTACACACATATTGCATATGTGCACGATTTATATGTATATAAGTATGTATTAATAATAAATTGTGACAATTGTAAAATCGGTGACCGGTCGCGGGTGTACGAGTGCTTCAACGAGTTTTAACGTTCGGATACGCTAATATTGTAGTTCGGATAATAGAGGGTTCATATAATGGAGGTTCAGATAATCGGGGTTCTACTGTTATTCGATATTAATTTGAAATTGATATTAATTAATAAAAAAAACAAAAATGTATTGAATTAGAATCGACTTTTTCAAGTACAACTTATAATGAACCTTCTATTGAATTGTCAAGCATTTCTGTTTGGTCTAACAATTCTATCCATAGAGTACCTACCGAATAAATATTATATAAAAAACTCACGAAATTAAAATGTCAATTAATGGCTCAAAAAGGACTGAAACGTTTTGAAAATTTGACCACGTCTAAAAAAATTAAATACAAGTTTCTTGTCCGAAATTCAATTCACTTCAAACATATTGAAATTAATTACAACATGAAAATAAAATTAAAAATAATAAAAGTATTATTTTCATACATTTTTCTATTTTTTCTACGGTTTTTCCTAGTTTTGCCTTACTATTATGAAAACTAATTGGAAAATAAAAAAATTTACCTCACTAAAGTAAACGCATAGGTACGCAGTATACTGATATACGTAAAGCAGTAGTATCCATTATAACAGATAGTTTGAAGCCATAATATTATTTTGAAATATGCATTTATGTATTTTCAAAATCCAAAAACATTTGTTTTTGGAATTTAGATTTTTAGATTCCACAAAATCGTAAAATATGAAATTATATATTATACGCAAATTGAAATGGTATTATTTCGTTTAATTTATGACACTCGTAATATATCTCGCTCCGCTCAGAATCTAAAAACATACCTAATACAACTTTACAACGTACGTATTATTTTTAAAGGAATAGTATGAATAAATACTAAACCTAACAAAATATATAGTTTTAAATTCATTGTAAGAATGTAATATTGTGAGTAATAGATTATGAAAAATCTGCTTAAATTGTATAAAACAAGATAGAACATACATATATTTCAAGTGCCTAGTAAAAATATACAAAAATGTCTCAATTTATGCACATCTTTTTTTTCGAACAGAATATGAATTCTCTATTACTATTACAATATTAGTGAACTAATTGCATAATGAAACCGTACTAGTGTACACAGTAATTCGCAATATACCTAGGCACGTTTCGATTGTCCTTATGGCCTTATTTTTAACGTGTATAGTTTTACACTAAAATTTGCCGACAGGAATTATTTTATACAAGTTTTAGAACAAAAATAACATTCTAGGTTAATTAGGATGGGTGCAGCCACTGTTATAGGTCATTTAATGTTTATCTGTTAGCAAAGATCGACCATCGATAACGAAAAAATGATTCTGAGCGGAGTTCAGTTGATAGTGATGTTTTGTCAACAATAATTATATGTCATAATATAGTAAATTAATTAAATAAGCATTATATATTATCCTTAATAATATTTGTTTACTGTAGCGATTTTCCCATTTTACCTACATTTTTCTCCGTTTTCCCATTTTTTTCCTAGTTTTTTCACATTTGCTGGGAAAAGTGTTGAGAAAATAGAAAAATGAACTCTTTAAAGTATATCCCCAGTGAAATTTCCTTTTAGAAAAATCGCTATCATTATAAGTTAGAGAAAATTGCTGGTAGAAACGTTTACCACAGGAAAAAAAAACTATAGTATTTTTAGCTATTACCCACATTTTTTACATTTTCTCGTTTTTCCAACTTTTTTTTCGGTTTTTCACATTTGATAAGAAAACTCTTCGAAAAATCGAAAAATTACCTTTTTAAAATATCTCCCCATACCGATTTCCTTTCTGAAAAGGTGCTAAATAAAAAAAAACGGAGCAAGTTCTCTGATAAAAAAAGTTGTCCACAGAAAAAAAAACAAAAATTAATATCTTTATGAAACCATAAGCGCCTTCGATCCACTCAGAATCTAAAATTAAAGAGCAAAAACAATTAAATGAGGCAAAATTATTAAATATTACAATTCCAAGAATTGACTAAAAGCCTTCTTCTCCGAGAAGATATGTATGTAAAATGTTAATAATATCATAATTTAATCGTAATAAATTTGTTTTAATTAGTGAATCCAAAAACACAATATATTATTTGTTGTATTAATTTTTTCTTATACAGTTGTTTTTCGTATTGTGTAATCGATGAAATTGTCCCATGTTCTCTTTGTTACGAGCACTTATCCGTTTTTAATTTTTTTTTTTTTTTTTTTTTTAAACAATAACCACAACGAATTTGATATTTACAAACAATTTTCATTGTTACACACGATTCGTGAATTCATAATTTTTGTTTAGGAGAGGAGATCTAGACCTATTTTTGAAAAAGTAAAAATCAGAACATCCGAGTCGCATCCCGTATTCTTTAGGAAACGGATATTATAACAAAATACATACACTGATTCTAGTTAACGATTCGCACGAAGACTACAAATTGACCTGTGCAATTACATTATATGCCACATAAAACAATTGTGATGGTTGTTGCTACTTAAATTATAGGTTACGTTCGGGCGTAATCCGTAAAAAAAATGAGGCCAGTGATTGGAAAAATCACTCCTTCCAAAAAATAGCCATTCCGATATCTAAAAGTCCTGAATTCGATTAGTTTTCGTATTAGTTTCTTTATTTTAACGTTGATTTGTGCTTCTTTTTTTTGTCCACAAACAATTTTTTAATTAGACGACTACTCCAATCAAAAACTTCGTAGATGCTCTCAGCTTTCTTGAAGTATCTTGGATCTACAGTTAGTAAATTTATTTAAAAGGTTACTTTTTCATTCAATGCTTGTAATTTTCTTAATATTTACAAAACGCTGACAGTTTCATCAAAAATCGATATTAGATTTTTTTTATATTTACAATATATATATATATATATATATATATATATACAATGTACTACTATATTACTACAACTATATTTTACATATTTCAAAAAGAAAATTATTTTTTAGATATCTGACATTTTTACAGAATATTTATCATATATTGTGTGTTTTAAAAGTTTTCAGACATAAGCTATTATTTCCAAATTATTTTGGTTTAATTTTATACATGTATAAAAGTATATATATTATACACAGATAAAATTTGATGTCATGTATATATTACTCGAAAAACGAATTCGAAGATCTTCATAATTTTAAGTTTTTCTTCGTGGCCAAAAGTTAGCATATAATGATGCAATTTTAGATTCGAAGCGAAGAATGTATTGGTTTAGCTATGATGTATGACGGTTTTTATGTGTCTGTAAACAACTTTTCTACTCGACTCTAGACAAGCTTAAACTAAAAATCAACTTCAAAAAACTAAAAGTTATGGTTATATATATAGTTGGTGCACTAAGTGGTAATTTTTTGATTTTTCTTTTAGTTTTCTTTTTAAATAGAAAAACTGGCAATTTTAAGTATAATTTTTTATTGATTTCTGGGTTTTCATGGCAACTTGAAAAAAAATGTGACTAATAATCTGATCAGATTCGTTTTTCATTATTAATGGTTTATCTTTGAACGCAGTTACAAATTAAATTACTTTATGTATCGTCCTTTTTAACTCTTCTATTAAAAACAATAGCACACCCATCAGTAGTATGAGATTTTTTTTATATATAGGTAGACACATATAATCGTGAGAAGTTAAAATTTTAACGAAATTAAGTCATGAACATTTTTCACACTATTTTTTGATTCGTATGAATAGCGTTATTTTTTGTTCCTGGATATTTGAAAAAATTATCTAGATATACGCTATTGTTACACTAATAAAATACGGTTTCAACATTATATCGTAGGTCAGGCCGAATCTACAGTGCTATAGATGTTATACGAGGTTTGTCCCAAAAGTAATGCACAATTTGCTCTGAATAAATAATTTTTTGTTTTAAACTAAATACAATATTATAGACCTTCGATATAATCTCCCTGCTTGTCTATACACGATTGCCATCGTTTCGGGAGCGCTTGAATGCCGCATAGGACGCCATCTTTGTTGAGTTCACGGATCCTTCGGCTCACTTCTTCATTTAGTATATCTAAGTTGGGAAAACGGATTCCTCTAAGTGGTTCCTTCAGTTTTGGAAATAAATCAAAGTCCGGGGGACTTAAATCCGGCGAATACGGTAGGTGTTTGAGGCGTTCCCATCCATATTTCTCCAAAAGAGCGACGACTGGTACTCCGATATGCGGCCGCGCATTATCGTGCAATATGGACACACCATTTTGTAACATTCCTGGTCGCTTTTTACGGATTTCTGGTCGCAATTTTTTGGCAAGGAATGTTTTGTAGTAATCCCCGGTTACACTANTTATACGACCATCACGGAATCGCTGATGCCATCTTTGCACCGTACTACGATCCACAGTATCCGTTCCACACACTTCATTTAACGTGGCATGAATTTCAAGCACTGTTTTACCACGAATCGTTTCGATTTTAATGTATGCGCGTTGCTCAAAGACAAAAATGTGAGCCGACGAATTGTTCTCACTTTCGTTATCGCTCTCACACATCATCATACTTTACTAAAACAACTAAAACTGAAAACGCACGTGTTCGTTAGACTTCAAGCTACAAACTGATACTAAAATCAGCTGATAATATCACATTGCAAGACAGCTAGAGCGCGCTGTGCATTACTTTTGGGACAACCCTCGTAATATCGTGGTATTTGTGCTACTTGAGTGTCAAGAACTCGAATTTTATATTTGGAAACGAAAATAGTACTATCACGCTTTAATAATAATAATATTGTAGTAATACGATATACCTTGTGTCGTGATGGTCGTTATTGTGGCCGGCTTTGAGAAATGTTCGATTGATTAAACCGTTATAAGTTTATATAGTAACATCTTATACGAGATCTGGCTATTAAATAACGAGACTGCTTATGAAAAATGGTTTTATTTTAAAAATTATTCCACAACCAAATGTTCCCCTTCAATATACTCTCCACACACCGTTTCATTCGTTTCTTCCATTGCTCGAGGTAGTGCTGGAAGTCTGTTTTCGTAAGACCATTCAGGAGTTCCGCCGATATTTGTTTCACCTCTTCCATCGACTCAAACCGGATTCCTATTAAGGCAGACTTTATCTTCGGAAACAAGTAAAAGTCGCTGGGTGCCAAGTCGGGTGAGTAAGACTCGTGTTCGAGTACTGGAGTGCCTTAAGCGGCCAAATAAAGCTTCACAGACAGCGCGTTATGGGCAGGTGCGTTATCCTATCGACCGTTTCTTACGAACTCATTCGCGCAATGTTGCCAAAACTGTCAAATAGTAATGTTGGTTCACAGTTTGACCCTCTGGAACTCATTCAGTCATCACGATGCCGTTGATATCGAAGAAAACGNATTCCGGTGCACTCTCGACCTTCAGAAAATAATTTATGCCACTCAAAAACACGCGCCCGAGATAGAAAATCCTCACTATAGGCCTCTTTTAACAACTTATAGCACTCAGTTGGAGTTTTTTTTAGTTAAACGAGAAAAAATACAGGTGACAGCTGCGTATTTTCACTTTCGTCCAGGAAAGTGTGTCATATAGTCACTGGTTGTTTATTTAAAATCAAAAAAGAGTGGTAGTTTCATTCCAAAAAATAAGAGTGACAATGTAATATTTTGGATAAACTTGTTTATAAGTTAACCAAAAAAATTAAATTCTTCCCTAGATAATGAGTGTTTTATTGAAGATTGGTCACTTATAGTATTGTTACTGTTAGTCACCATATCGTCTATACAGGCCCGAATTGAACCGGCGAGTTACCGAGAAAATCTCGGTGAGCCACGCAAAATTTGACTTGTTTTTAAACGAATTTATGTCAATTTAATCTATTTCGTATAATTTAAACCGGTGAAAATTCTAAAACTTGTTGGCCGATACATTTTCTATAGTCTAAATTATATAGGTAGGTATACACACATACAAATTACCTAATGTATTAAATATTAATGAAATTATCGATTCACATTGTTCGTAGGGGCCATGTTCGTTAAATTCGAGTTAGACAAATGACAAATATTCGCATTTTAAGTTCGCTAAATAGCAACTTTGGTTAGTGCAGTCATTGCAGTAGAGAACATTTCGTTCGAAAAATTACATTATTTGAGTGGAGCTCAAAATTAAAATGTTAACATGCACATCAGTATTAACCTGTACGAACTATAGAAAACCCACAGTTATAACTTCTTTTAAGATTTTCCAAAAATAATTTAACACCATTAAAAGATAAAATGGACTTGTATATTATTATATGTTTTTTACTTATCTAGCTTATATTTTTTAACTCTTAGTTTAGTTCTAAAATATTCGAAATATGTTTTTAAAATGATTTACGCACGTCTTTGTGTTATAATTAAGTACTTAAGTACAAAAAATATACATACTGATATAAATAAAAATGGTTCATAAATTTCAAATTAAAATTATTATTATTTATTGAGTTAATCGTATACACAAACAAAATATAACTCAAATAAATAAATTAATTATTTATTCACCATTGCAGTATTATGTATATTTAAACACGACATATTGATTTCTGTACGCGAATAAATCTATTGAATATTTTTTTCATATTAAAATATACAAACAAACAGATATATTTCGCAAGATTGGTGGTTCATTGTTGTTGGTGAAAAGTTGGAAAAATGAAGGGAAATTTAATGTACGTATCGATTTATTACTGCTAATGAAAAACGGTCCTGTGCGAAGTTCGGTTAAACATGTTTAGAAAGGCCATAATATTTATGATTTTCCCCGGTTATTCTCATTTATTGTGAAAACTCCTTGTTGTTTTTCTATTGAATCAATATTTCTGGTAGAAAACATAAGCCGTACAAATTTGAAATAAAGGAATCATAGCTCCGTGAATTTATCAGTTTTTATTTTTCGTCTTCTTCTGGTTTTCTCAATTATTATGAAAACAACTTGAGAAAAGTGACTTTTTTCGTGAGCATTTAAATCCAAAATGCAACAAAAAAGGTAGAAAACAGTTTGCAAAAATTAAAAACTTTGAAATTTTTGACGCTGCGGCACGCCGTAAATGTTTGCGTTTTATCTATAATTTTCTTTCTGGTTTTTCCCAATTATTTTGAATACCCCTTGGAAAATCAAAAAAAGACCTCACTTATGCACCAAATTAAATTTCCTTTTAGAAAAGGTGTTACACTTGATACATTGAATATGGATAAAGAAATTGTCTTTTCGAAAAATTGTTTTACAGACAGAAAAAAAAAAAATAACACACACCATAATAAAACTAATAGAACCCTCGCCTCGGTACGCTCTGAATCTAAAAGGTTGAAAGAGGTGAACTGTTTGGAATTTTTAAACATGCATGATGATTGATGCAAAACTCAAATGCATTGCCTAATAGATAATTCATGAAACAATTTATAGTATTTTTACATATATTTGAACAGTTCACTTTATTTGTTTATTATATTTATATTATAATAATACATGGTCCCATACAACAACGACGCTAATTTTGTGCATACGCTGAATGCTGATAGTAAAATCACTTTTAAAAAATGTAAATATTCTGTATAAAAAAACATATTAAGCTAACATCATAAAACATTAACTCTTCCCTTGCCGTCGAAAGAAGATAAAATATTGATACTGCATCATCAGCTGATAACTGCACTTATCGAGGACACTAATTTTTTTCCAAGATGGATTCATAATATCATTTTGATGAACATGCGTTTTCACATCGATCAGAAAAAAATAAAAATAATAATAATAATATAATGTACGTGAAACGAAAAATTATATTTTAATTATTTCATGGATTTTAAACGAATCCCTATACCAGGTTACATGAAACTTTACAGAACTGATGACTAGATATTGGTACAGTAAAATTACAAACCGTTCTGTTTAAACACAAAATGTATTATCAATCACAGAGTTGTTGAATTGATAATTTGTTAAACTAATTTCAGTTCTGTAAAATTTACAGAGCTGTTAAAACACGAAATAATGTTATAACCATTAAACATAAATAATTTACATTACATACATATATATATATATATAAAAATAATAAAACATTTTCAAATTGTAATAAAATGCCATAAAACGCAATCTGTTTAATAACTATAATTTTACAAAACCGATAAATTATAACACCAACAGTATACAGAACTAATATAATATTATTGTGTTCTCCTAGACAACTTTTTTTTTTTCAAATATCAATTGAATTATTTTATTATTTACTTGTGTTTAAATTTATGACCGTAAGAAAACTACGATGAATAAAATTTAAAAAATTTTTTTTTTTTAATAACGGTTGGAAAATTGCAATTTCTTTTAAAATAAATATTAAATTCCCAAACAAACAATGAACGATATAATTTCAACAAGTTAAAAAACATATTAAAAAGAAACGCACATATTTGCAAAACGAATAGCTCGTACTGTCCAGTACCATGTACACCAATCGAATTAGTGTATGTATCATACGAGTATACAGGCGCGTATATAAGACCAAACCGACCCCCCGAAATTGCATGAAAATGATGATGAAAGTAGATTTTTGGTAAAGTCTCAAAAATGATTTCTGCCAATGATAAAGATAAATACAAATTTTGAATTATTAGATAGTAAGTATATATATATATATATATATATATATTGTTATTATTGTCATTTCATTTCTAATTTTTTATGGTTTTTTTGCTTTTAGAAAATATAATTATAACTGATGCGGCGATATTGCATAGTCCGCATTGTTATCACAATAGCATGAGTAACATCATCATTTAACCTAAAAGGCTAAAAATAAATTTTATAAAATATTGACATTTTTAATGAAAAATAAATAACCCTGCAATTGAAAATATGTAAACTTCTTTGTTATAAGAGTATGAAAGTGTACAACCTTAACTCCCTCCCCCCACCCGAAATATATACTTGAAGAATGCTTATGATTTATGTTTATAAGTGGATCCTATTTAATTATTTCCCGGTACAAAAATAGAACCCAGTACGTGCCTGTTTATAAACGATTTTTAGGTACTTCAGTGCTCGAATTGATGGGAAGAACGGAGGGAGCGCAGGGAGACAGAGCTCCCAGCTCCTATGATATTTTTTTTTAATTTTTTTTTAACGCTCCCTTAGTAATTATTTATACTAAGATGGTACGTCTATTTTGTAAATAATAATAATTAAAATAATTAAGTATTGTCAACTCAAATTCAATAATGTAAATATTTTTTTTTTTATTTAGAACTTTTATATTATAAATTTGTTAATAGTAATAGTGTACCTAAAATAAATAAACATATGAAAGTGAAAACGTAGCCGGCAAGATTATTATTGTTTGTAATTTTTTATTTTTTTTTTTGTAAATGACTTATTATTGAATTATGTTTCAAAAATGGTGTAAGGTTACTATAGATCACACATCAAGTGTATTTAAAGTCTCCCAGTCTCTCTTCTTTTATTTTTCCGATTCAAGCACATGGCTTCAAATACTATTGTTATTATTAATCGGATCGGATCCGACGCAG